GATCGGACCCGGATTGTGTATCGCTGGCTCCACTCATTCGCCGTTACGCCGGACGCTCTGGATCGGTCCCGACTTGGGAGGGCTTTCTCCCCTGGAAATTTTGGCTCGGTATTACTTGTCTCATCCGGTGAGTAAATCCGTCAATCAGGATGAGTGTAAGTGACCATCTTCGTTTCCTCAGATGAACGCGGACTTGATGTCTCAGAAGGAGCCTCTCGTACCCGCGCGCCATCAAACAGGGTTGAAATTGGATTTACACTCATGTTGCACGCCATGGCGAACAAAAAGAACTGATCGAAAGGAATCACTGGTATGGAACACATGGCAATTGCGAGAAAGGAAGATACTCGGAATACACCGTATCAGAATGCCGGGTGAGGGTCGCCACGAGAGGCAAGTCCGTTCGTATTTTTCTCTCTCGAACGGACCCTTTCTGCCTCTGTCATCTATTGGTCGCCTATAAGTGAGTCGTGGTCGTGTGCTTTTCCCGAATTCTCGCCCTGATTTCCTGGATCAAACAAACAGCGAGTTTCTTCCGCTGAAAGATCAACCAGATAGCCATTTCCATCTGAATCTCGTCATCTTTCCTCTAACACGGCAGACGGAGAAGCAACCAGGGGATTAGGTGCATCAATACTTCCAAATTTACCGGAGCGGCTTCGTATTCGCCCGAGGCGAGTCCATACAATCGGTGTTCGAAGCCCATTTCCGCCAGAGGGACCTCTAATGATGATGCCTGGATTATCACAGTGGTGCTGAGGTTGTCAGCAGGTATGCACTGACTATCCCCAGTCCATTCTCTTATCTTTCACTTTGCATGCGAATGTCTTTCTGAATGGTCTTGGATTGTCGAGAGTGTCTGAATCTGATCTCTTCTCAGACTCGGGACAAATCTAATATTTGCCTCTGTCCGCCGGAGAGCCACTATCCCGACGAACGTGCGCTATTTCGCACGGGGACGTTAATCTTCTATTCAGGGTCGCTTTACAGTTTCGTGCTAACGTTAACTAAATTCTCAAGTGCAAGCCGCATTCCGCTCAAAATGTGCTTCGGCATTGGCCAAGTAGCCCTCGGCGTTCGAGATTGGTTCGGGACCCTGCGCTGTAGCATGGTCGCGATGGACTTCAACGTTAGGCTCCTGATCGCCGTCGCAGAAATTGAATTATCAATGAACTGGAACTCAATTAATTATGGCTTGGGCGATAGCGGTTCAAAATTTCCCCGGTAGTGTTGATACACAGCCCTAGCCGATCGAAATGCGCAGCTTTTGGCCCGGCTCACTAGTAGTATTTACGCAGAAGGGCCCCAGATCCGATCGTAGCGAGATTTGAAGGGAAAAATTGCTAATGCCATACAGCCTGGGTGGGATACAAGTGCGTCCGTGTGCAGTTTTCGATGTTCTACGGGCTCTGCCCTTGGAGCTGCCAATTTTCTGGTGACCCGAGCGACGCAACCACCGCAGTTGAGTCATGCGATTTTGAAAACAAAACCATTCTGTACAAGTTTCAGGATACCAGAGGGATATCCGATCTCGTTTTGCATCCATATCGTCGGTGTATCAGGCCTAGGGACCTCAAGAAACTAAACATCTGAACAACAATGGTTAAGTAAACTGCAACAAGAATAATTTTAGCCTGGCCCGAAATAACGGCGGGGCGGAGACACTGAGACACACTTCATCCCATATACACACACACCCCGTCCCTCACGACCAGCTAGGTGTTTTCCGTGGGTGCTCGATGACCGTAATGACCGGCGGGCGTCATGTTATCAAATAGCATCTGCCAACCCCGGTCGCAGAATGGTTTGGGGAGTACTTTGGGCTCTCTGCAGCTGGCTGCTGAAGTTCCTCGGAGATGGAGAGAGTTTGCAGAGTTTGATGTGGACGCAGTAAATGTATTTGGGCGCCTTGATTTAAGTTGATTTTCATTCAGTTCGAAAATAGTACTGCACCTAAGACAGAAACTCAGCGGTGATAACCCACGCATCAACACCACGTACATGCTGATGGGGATGAGGGTTTATGTACTCAGTGAACGTTTACGTGCACACACAGTACTAAATGCGCTCGGTCAATATTAGATGCGTATCTAGACCTGCAACATTGGGCGCAGTATCGCCGTCCTATTCGGAATCAGTCAGACTCGGTCATGCTCCGTCGCATGCCGGGCAGAGATCATTTCTTCGCTCTCGGAATGTAGCCGTCAAATAGTATCCCCGAAACGAGGAATGTGTAACCTTTGACTCCTTGACCTGCGCGCGAATTCTTTTCCACAGCTCTCCATTCTGTCATCTGAGGTGCCGTACACGATCCTGGCGCAAGTCAGATGCTAGGGGTCGGAGAGACACTGTACAACCGGTACACAGAGTCCTGAGAGTTCCGGTTGAACATGAGTTGCTGCGAATCCGTCGGCATAATCAAACACGTTGACCAGTTGACAGCGGTACAGCATCCCGCCACGCAGCATGTATAAGCTTCAACGGCGGAATATACAGCGGGAGGTGGAAAGATGCGGCTCAACGTCGGGTTTAGGTGCCAGGGAGGTTTCGTACATTGCACGCTGCGCAACAGATGTATCATACGACATGTTGTAAAAATCGTACATAACGTATCAAGTGAAGTCGATGGGTTGCTGGACGACGCGCGCGCGATGAGATGCTGGTCGATGCACGGCCGCCGATGACGCTGACAGTTAATTTCGCTTAGAGGCAACAGCTGGGTTCAAATTGCGGGTGCAATGCAACCGTGGGAAGGACGATCCAGATCGGGGTCACATTGGAGTGAAGCGTCGATATTAATTCTTTTAGTCTAATGGAAACTCTGAGCATGATACCTTCTAGCTCTCTCAGTTGATGGGAAGATGAATGTGCAAACTTCGAGGGAATTGTTTGTTTGGATCTGGAGATATTGGAGTTGATACTTAACCGCAGTGCGGCACTGCACTTCTAGAATGGGAACAGGCAAAAAATGAGTTGAGATACATTTCGGCAAGATGGAGAGGAGAGCACCCGGGCCGTGCCAGTTGTAAGAACTCCCCAAAAGTCAATTTTTCATCAACTGAATTGCACATGAAAAAACAAGTGTCCTTGAATGGAATTCAGACGTGGGGAGTGGAACCCCCTGCTTCGATACTTAGTATCTATTCATGGACCCAATCGAGGGTGGAGGTGCGCCATGCACGACATCCGATGATATTCACACATCGCACCCTGCTTGGTGGGGAAAATATATTGATGTTGTTTAGGTTGAAGTGGGAAGGAAGTAAAAGCACTACGGCTACCTGTTGAAATAAGGTTGCAACCAAATCGGGGTTCCCGTCGGTTCTCTCATGCGTTACAATGGTTCGAGATTTATCCAACGTCGGCGTGGGCCGCTGCACTCATCAAAGCAAATCGCATCTCCCACGACACGGAGCTTTGTTGGTATGAAAAAAGGCATTGCAGGACGAATTCGGACGCGGGGAGTCGAACCCCGTGACATTTCTGTATGGGCGATATACTGTGCAAAAACTCGTCCAATTTTACAGGGTTTTTGCAGGCAACTTACATCCAAATTCGAACTCCTGCCTGACAATTGTGTAAATCTACTTACATCTCCCGAAGTTGCTTGCATCTATTCCCACTTACATCTCCGAATTGGCAGACAACTTGAGCAATGATTGCCGTGTGTGTTCCCATCAGTTCTGAATCGGGTGAAATAGAACAATTCAGCAATGGCTGGATTCCCGGTCTTTCAAAGAGTTTCGGATGAAAATAGTTGGATCAGAATGCTGAATTCACATCCTCTGGACACAATTTCAGCATTATGAGAACAGCCTTCATCCAAAGGAGTGAATTTTGGCCAGTCCTTCCAAATGGTCCTGCAACCTCCCTGGTAGTCACTGTCGAGAAGTACCGTACTTTCCGTTTATGGATTTCGGCGAGTCTGATCCCATCACTGTTGTGATCATTCCCATCACTTTGATGAAAATTCAACCAAGTCCCATACATGTAAGAAGACATTCGGTCAGGTTGTATCTGACCACCGAGCAGTGGTAAGTGCCTTGACATTTGCCCCACCTACGTGTGATCCAATGGTGTAAACAGACCACGAGTATGCCATTGGGAGGTCACACTGGGGGCAAAATCCAGGGCACCTGGACTCCAGATGTCTCCGAGGCCTGTGGTACGCAGGTGCAATGGTCCCAATGTACACAAGGGAAATAAAGGAATTCTCGCCTTTACTGTACTGTCTCGACCAAGTGTTCGCGGGGTGTTACGCGTTATGTAAAGTGTTCACTTGGCAATAAATTACCATAAAGGGAGTGCCGGTCCGGGAAAAACGGCTGTTCGCCCCGATTCATGCGATTTTAGGGGTATGTTACGGTTAGTACGGATGTCCCAAGTGTTCAGTTCACAGGTCTCCGTTACGCGTTATGTGAACACCCGGTCGAGACAGTACAGTATTGCCTTTGTGCACAAACACCCATTGTGACCCTCAATGGACATGTGTCAGAGGCACCTGAAATCCAGATGCCTCAGCCTTCGCCCCCAGTGTCAATTTGTATTGTAGCATAACCATCAAGTTTCAAACATCGAACAATCGGGATTCGGGCCAGGGCAGATGAATCAGAAGAATAAGAAAGGAAGTAGAAGACGAGGGGAGTATTACATGTAAGATGTACAGAGAGACGTGGGGATAATGTCCACTTGGGAAATTTTCCCATAATGGACCGAGATTTTACTTTTGCTTTTGCTTGCTTGAATGGGCTGGCCACAGCTAGAAGCAGAGGATACGGTATGACGACGAAGGGTATAAGAAGCAGAGGATACGATATGACGACGAAGGGTATATGTACTACGTATGTAGACTGAAAAAAAAAGTATAGGTATGTATGTGACATACTACTATTACTAGTAATGTAGGGATCGAGGCCGATGGGTGGGGACTTGATAGAAAAATGGAAGTGGCAGGGAAAGAAGGAATGACAGAAACCAAAAAGTTTGCTATCATAGAGGGATGGCCATCGTGGGGGTCGAACCCAAGACCTTCGCGTTAACAAGTTCGTTTCGACTGAAATATATTAGCACGACGCTCTAACCAACTGAGCTAGACGGCCGGTGAAAAGTGGTGTTTGTGGAGAGTATGGTCGGAGCGGATGCAGAGATTTGTTGAGGAGAAAGGATGCGTTGATGGGAGTTGACAGGAGTTGACTTGGACTTGCTTTAAAGAGAGAGGGAGAGTATTCCGCTGTGTCGAATTCGAAGACCTAGGGTAGGATTCGGAGCAACGCCAATCTCCGACGCGTTCCTTCATTCATTCCGACAGACAGCTTCTCACGGTGCAAGTTCAGTATACTTGCTATCTCCATCCTCCTGGCCGCTGCGATCACTTCATGTCAACACGGCCGCGGCGCGCTCGTTCGAGCGATTCCTGTTCCCCGCTTCCCCGATCTCTCTTACTGGATCTTACGGCGATTCGGGGATAGCAGTGGGACAGCTGAACGTGAGAGCATCACGGCAATCGGCAATCGGAGATAGCTATGTCCGAGAAGAGAACGTGGGAAGCGGGGACCTTACGTCAGGCGAGTAACTCCGTCTTTCGACCTCTTTCGACTCTCTCCCACGTTCACTTCCACTTTGCCGTCGTCTCGTCCTTACGTGTCTCTTCCGTTTCCTTTTGCGCGTCTCGTCAGTGCCGTACCCACTACCAGTGCCCCGGTGGAGAACAGGACAGGACTTGCGACAGGTCACAGCAGAACAGGATGTCGTACGTGGCGGAGACGCTTACATACCGTACTCGTGTGCTTATAAGTCGCGGAGGCAGCGCACGGAGAGCCGGGGGATCTTTGTCGCTGTGAACGACATACACATACCGCACGGACGACACAGGCAACGGATAACTTGGACGACTTGGACTTCGGTACTGGGCTGAGCTAGGGAACGCATACGAATACGGACACGGATACGAATACGGATGGATATCCCGCTGCCGACGCCGACGCACGACTCTACCCGCATTTCACATTCACATTCACATTCACGGCGCGATACATCCCCCCTCCTCACCCTCCCCCCCGAGCTCCTCGCCCTCCTCGCCCTCCACCTCGCCACCCGCCCGCCCAACCTCGGCCCGCCCGCTGCTTTGCTGCCGCTCCTTCTCACCTGTCGCTTTCTCTATTCGCAATTGGGCTTTCCGTATACGCGAGGGAGAGGAAACGCCGCGCTGTGGGCAAGAATTGGGCGGGCGAAGTTCGCGCGCGGCTCTATCGTTGCTTCGGGAGATGGGGTCGGAGATGAACCGTTGTCGGAGAGTTTGCCGCGGTCCATTTTTGGGGACGTATCCCGGACGGGGATGGAGACGAGTCCAAGCACGAGTAGGAGAATGAGCACGACTACGAGCAAGACAGAACGCGCCGCAACTCGGTTCCGCACCCTCCTCACCGCGCTGCGCGACATCCGCGCGGGCGACGTGCACGACCCGCGCGCGGGGTGGGCGCTCGTGGTCGCGTATGGGATGGTGGTGGAGGATGATCTGGATGCCGAGGGAGAGGGAGATAGGTGCGTTTTTTTTATTTCTACCAAGCTTTCCTACTTTCTTCTACCACCTACTTTCTTCTACTTTCTACTCTACGTACCCCGATACTCTGTGCTCACGCTTCGTTTATCTCACAGTGACGACCCCCACGGCACGGTGAAAGCCGAAGGCAACAAAACCATGCCCGCGCTCTCGATGGAGGCGAGCGGCGCGTGGCGCGAGGGCGGGATGGAGGGGTTGAGGATGCGGGAGGCGGCCGAGGCCGCTTCTTCTAGTACAATTATAACGGTGAGCGTGAGCATTCGATTATACTCGATCCTTCGTCTTTTTTCTTCGTCCCTTCAAGTGCCCTTCCCTCCCTTTTAGAATCTCTTTTTTTCTTCTTCCACACTTCTTTTTTCATTTGAATTCATTCATGCATTCATTCTCGTTCTTCCTCCACTCCGTGCTGGTTTTTCTATCGATTTCTTCGTGCTGGTTTTCCATCTGCGAAATGGGCGTGGACGAGCAGGCGGCGTTTCTTTTCCATCCCGCGGACAGCCCTTCCTCCCAACCCATTCCCCCGTTTTGTTTTGGGCGCCGGTGGTGCGCGCGGCGCAGCGGGGAGGACAGGTGTCACGGACGCGTGTGGATGTGGGTGTGGGTGTGGGGAGGTCACATCGTGCTGGGCTCGGGATCGCGGGATCGGGGAAATCTGCGTCTCGTCCTAATTGGGACAGGGGTGCCTCGATCATGTGCATGACGCGAGATGACGCGTGGACACCTTCATTCATCCACCGCTATCATCTGACCTCGTGGCTTGACCAGGAGGTTGTGGGATGTGGGCGAGGTCTTGGCGCCCCGGAGGATTTTCGAGAGTTATATTTTCCTTTCGACGCGGACGCATCGCTTTTCTTTTTCTTCGCTTCCCCTTGCTTCGTTTGCTTTATCCCTTTATTTTATTCTTTTTTATTTTACTATTCCCATACCCCATCAAATAAATTCCTACCGCAATCCCTTCCCCTCCCTTCCGACATATCCATTCTCCCTGTCTTTGACTTGTGCTGATATTATATTTACAGTCCCCACCTTCACCTTCTTCTTCTGCACGATCCCTACCAAGTACGCAGTCACACTCGCGAACGAAAGCCCCATTCCCAGCGCCCAACCGCCGCCAACTCGCCTGGGCCGGCGCGCGCGAGTTTGCCCTCCGATACGTAAGGGAGCGGGGGTACGAGGGGCGGTGGGGGGAGGGCGAAGCTGTTCCTCGTTCTCGTTTTCGTTCACCGCGGGCGGGCGCACACGGCACGGCTCCTTTCGATGAATCCGCAGAGTTGGAAACAAGATCCGGAAGACTGGAAGGAAGACACGAGTGGAAAGAAACACGCCCAGAATGGCACACCCCCACGTGGCGCGTCGGCTGGCCGCGCGACGCGGCGGCGGGGGCGGCGGCGCTGTGGGTGGGGTGGTTCTTCGAGGGGGAGGGTGCGTTGTTTTCTTTTGGTTATAGTCTTCTCTTTGAAACTCGTTTTCATCTTCTGCTTCTTGGGCGAGGAGAGTTGGTCGGGGCGCGTTTTTGGGACGGAGTCAAGCTTGAGCGCGTTTTGGGTTGTGGCGGAGATGGGGATGGGGAGGATCGTATACGCGTTTTGTAGAGCTGTGACCCGTCGGGGATGATGGCATTGCTTGTTTCTCCCTTGACTCGTCTTTCACGATCCGACCAAATGCTGACTTGTACTTATTCGATTATATCCAGATACCCTCGCCGCCGAGTCCGAGCCCGCGCGGCGCGCGCTCATGGCGCTCCTCCTTCCGTTTGTGGTCGTACCGTTTCGGGTGAGTCGCTCGCAGTTTCTTTGATTTTTTCTCTCTGCTTGTCCTACTTCTTTTTCCCTGTCGTAATTCTGGATTATCTGGGATGATGCGCCCTCTTGCGGGGCGAGTTACATATGCGCGTCAATTCGGCCGTGCGTTTATTCGAGTCCGCGAATGACTCGATGTCTGGCGGCGGCGTCCGCGTCGATTCTTCTTGCTGCGGCATTATGTATTCCATCTGGACGGGCCGGCGCGGTGATATTCGGTGCTCTATTCGTTGCTCGTTATTCCTCTTTCTTCCCCTTACTTCGTCCTCTTCTGAATAATCGATACTCACCTCTCACTGCAGTACCCCTCCACCCTCCTCCCACCACATCACTACTCCGTCCCGCTCGCAACCCCGACACTGGACGCAGCGCCCATTACAGTCCCGACCTTCCACGGCGCGTATCCCGTTTACTCCTATCCACCTGTGCCTCCATCACATACACCTACTTCACGACCTTCCGCAACTTCCCGACCGCCTCAAGCTGGTGTACCGCGTGCTCCTCAAGCTCGACCTGACATCCAATCCCCACTACCGACGTCGACATCAATTTCAAGACGGGCACCTCCTGCTCAAATCGGACGCGCACTACACGCAAGACTCCTCACCGCCCCGCCCGCACGGCTGCTCTTCTTCGCGCGCATGCAGGCGGCCGCGCGCATGGGGGTGCCGCCGCATCTTGCAAGAGACCGGGCGGCGGCGGATGCGCGGTTCGTGGGGAATGGGGGGACTGGTAAGCCATTCCATTCTCTATCCTTCGCTACGCATCCTCCCTTTATCCGAGCGCCGTCGCGCGTTTATTCGCGTTCGAATGAATGAATAAATGCGCGAGCGTCAGAGGGAGCTCGTGCTTCGGCTTAAATCGGCCGAGAGCGCGCTTTCCTCTTTCGGGTCCTCTTTCATTCCCTCATCTCATCTCGTATCGTTCGAGTAACGCGCTCACCATTCTTCCCAGGCCCACCGCCCATCGGCCCGACGCAGGCGGATATTTACGAGAAGAATGCGAGGCCGGTTGTCAGGTTTGAGAGGCAGCTGCCTTCTGCTCCATCCACCCAATCATCCAGTGGCGCCGCTTTTCCTTCAACGGCGACAGCGACGAGTTCTGCGAGCTCGACTTCCACCAGCGTCCCTACGTCTATCTCAGCACCAACAAGAAACGACCCGCTCGCCATCCTCCCCATACTCGACTCGGACTCGGACTCGGACTCCGACACCGGCGAGTCTCGTTCTAGCGGCGTAAAGCGGAAAAGGAAGCGCGACACGCGCTGGGCACCCGATGCGTGGCGCGCGAGGTTGTGTGTAGGGTATGGTGGGGTGTGGGGGGATGCGGCTTCCGTTGTGACAGCACCTTCTCCTTCTGCATCATCAAGTCGCGTTTTGTTACCAGGCGCCGCTTCGACATCCGCGGCGGCCAGTGCAGCGCGAACGCCCGCGGCGGGTACCGGTACGAGTGCGAGTGCGGGAGCAAGCGGAGTATCAAGAGGAACGGGACAAGCACACGTCCCCCGCGGCGGGGCACCTCCGGGCCGGATCGGGCGGGTGTACGAGCTGGGGAGTATGGCTGGGTTGTGGGCGGGGACGATGTTGGTGAGTACTCCAGAGCCTTTCGGTTTATTGGGATACGGCGGGGAGCGGTGGGGATGAGATGAAACGGGGGGAAGGTGGGGGTGGGAGCCGCGACGGTCGTTTGTGGCGTGGAGCGCGCGCGTGCTCTTGCTTGTATTGCAGCGTTAGAGAGGGGG